GGCACAGGCCGAAAGCGATGAACATCCAATTCCTAGCCAAAGCCCAACTGAAAGATGAGTGAAATCCCCAAATGAAACTTAGCTCAGAAATCAGAGTACCATTGGCTGTATTGACATTAAAGTCTGACCTTATGGCTTCTGCTAGTGGTTACGCAATTTTAATGAAGTCAATCTAAAGGTAATAACACGTGTTAGAATAATAGAGGCAAAAATAACAAATGGAACTGTGGCCGACAGAGAGTTAGGCACAAATTTAATCAATTACAGAAAGGAGGGAATTTCACAGACCAAGTTAGGCATATATTAATATATATAACCAAACCCCCTTGTGAAAAAGAAAGAAAGGTTATTATTATTTCATGAAATGGGGATTATATTCCAAATTCTTGTAGTCTACTTCTTGTTGTTGGTTAGCTGCTCAGCCAACAAAAGTGTTCCTGCTTTTTTCACTTTTGGCGATTCCTTGGTTGATGTGGGAAACAACAACTACCTTCAAACCGTAGCAAAGGCAAATTATTTTCCCTTTGGAATTGATTTTGGGAAACCAACCGGACGATTTACAAATGGGAGAATAACTTTTGACATTCTTCGTACGATACGACAAGTCTTTGTGATTTAAATTCTGGCAAATTAGTATTACAATTTATATATGTACACTATTTTTGCAACAATGTAGAGATATGTACTTGAATTAACTTCACTACTTTCTCATTTTGTTATGACAGAACAGGAATTGGGTTTCGTAAATTTTACTCCTCCTTACTTGGCACCAACTACCGTTGGAGACGTTCTTCTACAGGGTGTCAATTATGCTTCCTCTGGCTCTGGAATTTTAAATTCTACTGGATCTATCTTTGTAAGTTTTCTCCCAAACCTACAAGTTTTTGGATTTAAGGAAGTTAGCTAGTCTTAATTCAGAACTAACGAGTTGTATTATGCGTTCAAATTAGCTTCCTGATGCTGAGGAAGCTAATTTTAACTTATAATACATACCATACCATGGTGTGCAATTTACTTTTATTAATTATAACTCAGAATATTATGTACATATATAATAGGGTGACCGAATCAATTTTGACACGCAAATAAGTAACCATGGAAGAACCGTGCGTGCTATCATGTCGAGGATTGGCATTCCTGCAGCTCAGAAATTGTTGAGAAGAGCCATCTATGGGGTTGCAACTGGCTCTAACGATATAATGGTCAAGGAGTCTGCACCTGCCATGTCCGAAGAAGCTTATTTGGATTTATTGATTTC